ATCATTATTAGCTCAGGTGGTGGAGGAGGTGACTCCTCTGGATGCTGCAGTGGTGGATCCAGCTATGGCATGGGTGGAGGATACAGTGGTGGGTCTTCAGGAGGCAAGATCATCATTGGAGGGGGGGGGGGGGGAGGGTCCTCTGGATGGTGGATTCTGGTGGTGGCAGTGGCGGTTCCTCAGGACATGCAATCATCGTCAGCTCCGGAGGTGGTGGCGGAGGCTCCACACAGCAGAAATGCCCCATTGTCATCCCCAGCAGCAAATCCCACCAGATCAAGCAGGGCTGCTACTGGCCCCCCAGCCAACAGAAGTAACAGCCACAGGCTTCCCCCAGTTCTCAACAGTGACAGCCCTGCCTCTGCTATATCACCTTTTTCCCTCCAGTCCTGGCTCTGGTTTGCCTCTTCCCAGCATGTCTTCTCCTCTTCCCTTGATGCTGCATTGTTGTGCTGACAAATCCTGGATTGGTAGCCTTGTGCCCTGATGATGATGATGGGATGCCTTTGATAAGGTTCCGCTGCTTTTCCAGAGAACACTAATTAAGTCTAATAAAAGTAGTAATATCTGAAAGCTGCCCTTTTGGGGAGTTTGTTCTTTTTTCTGTATTCTCAACCAGTGTCTTATGGTCTTGGAAACTAGAAGTCTCTCTGATGAGACCTTTCACTCCTCTCTGTAAAGAGGATAATGGGTGCTTTGCTGTAGATGCAGCTCTAAAGCCACCCAATTTATAGTCCCCTTCATTTTCCCCCTGGGCTCCATGATAACGTAACATCACAGCCTAAAACATTACACAACCACAGCACCCAACATCCCTTTGGCATCCGTTCACGGTGCAGCCATCCCACCTCATGGCTCCAAGGCCTCTGAGCTACCAATGACCATGGCAATGAAGTGCTGCTGGGAGACAGGACCAAGCCCATCACACCCAGTCCTCAAGAGCAGAGTTTGGGGCCAACCACGAGCAAGAGCCGTTGCTGCTTGGGGTGGCTGGTAACACCACACCAACATCCACATCCCTACCATCCTCCCCCTTGCCTCCCAGCTTTGCAAACCTCAGATCATCTCTACCCACAGGGCAAGCTTCACATGCGGAGTCAGCCAAATCAGCCCTGGGCCAGGCAGAAGGAAATAAAACCAGCAGCAAGTCCTTCGGGCAGCTCAGCACACTCTAAGTCAGGCCTCCAGGCCTTACACCCCTCCTTGCTTTTGAAATCCACTTTGAAGTGCTGAGGCCAGCCCCACCACGGCTCTGTGCTGATTCCTGCCAAAGCTGGGACTCGCTGTCCCTGCGGCAAAACTGCTCAGAGCTGAACAGACCTAGCCCAGTCTACTAGAGCTGTGCCGTGACGCTGAGCTGAAGTACGACCTCGTGCTGGGCACCACCACCAGCACAACCACGGCACGTGTCCCCAGATCAGTCTCCCTGGAGTCCCTGGTGCTTAGTGTTCATTCCAAGCCGGAGGAAGGACAGCATGTACAAAGAAACATGCAGAAGGCGGGCGTTTGGCAGCATAATCCTTCATTAAAGGAGTAATCCGGCCACAGTAGGTTTAAGTGTTAGGACATTCTCACCTTCGCAATTCTCTCCAAGCTTTCTCAGAGCATCTCTAGCACCGTGGCAAAATATCTGAGCCCGTCGCTTCACTTTTGACAAGCTTCCGGTTTGGATGCAAATCATAGAATCATAGATTCATAAATTCAGAGATTCATAGAATCACAGAATCATAGAATCCATCATAGAATCATAGAATGTTTGGGGTTGGAAGGGACCTCTAGAGATCACCCAGTCCAACCCTCCTGCAAAACATCCCACTGGGGCCACCAGTGAGATGCTGGAGGCATCAACGTGCCATCTGACTGCAGCATTCACCTTCCTTTCTCCTGGGTTCCCACTGATCACACGCACCCTCATAGCGATGCCCCGAGCCCCGAGTTCAATCACAGCCTCCCTGCCCCTTCCCTGAGCAGGACTAGGTCACCCTTTGCCCCACACTCACTAATCCTTCTTGATCAGCTACACCCATGCTCCCACCCACCTCCCCTGGTCTCCCCCCACCTCACTGGGGGCCAAAGCAGTCCTCCGTAGCTAAGGGCAGGAGCACAGGAATACGATCATTAAGCAGAAGTAGCAATTAGCCCCACACGCAACACAACTACGAGGATGAAGGAAAGATATCGATCGGATGTCATGAGTCAAAGCAAACACTGAAATCAGAGTTTGGTAAATAAATCCTTGCCATTCCTCAGCGTGTCTCACTTCCCATATATGCTAAACACCGTATAAAAGTTCCTGACCTTTAAAGCTCCTCATTCAGTCGACTTTTAGCTTCTAAATGTGTTTCCGATGGCTGAGGAGGGTAAGTCTGCTCTTTTCTGTAGCTTTATTATTTCATACTCACGGGAGGTGGCTTCATCTGAGATCTTAACCTGTGCTTGAAACTGGAGCATCCGCAGCGAAGTTCTCAGGATCTCAGGTTTCTTGCTGCAGTGCAGATCAGATCCCTGGGAAGCAAAGCGAAGTCAGGTCACTGGCCTGGGAGCCATAGGGCTGAGCCAGCTGAAAATCCAGATAACTCTGTAGTGGGACCAGCATGTGGCATCTGCAGAGCTTTTGCAGCCTTGGATGTGTTTGCAAAGCATGGGACACATTTTTTACATTATTTAGTAACAAGGCAATGCTGTATTATGGTTACATGTCTCTATGTGTTCATTATTTTATGCAAAAGCCTTTCAGGGATGCTATGGAGCAACAGCGATAATACAGCAACATCTTCTTGTGTGAAAATTTTGCTCCTGAAACAGTTTAAAAACAGAAGCAAGGATAATTCTTACTATTTGAAAAGGAGACAGTTTCAAAGCCTGGCTTTGCCCCAGGCCCTGGCAAAGCTTTTCTGACCACACCACCTGAAACTTCCCCACCTGCCGTGGTGCAAAAAATGAAGCAAAACGGTGCAAGTTTGTTATTTTCTTGGGGTGTTTTTTTTTCCCTCTCTTTCAGATTTATCACTGTCTCCGTGCGAGATGCGCCCGGCGGCAGAACAGGGGCTTCTCAGACCTCCATGGACATAGCTCCTTCTACTGTGGTGGGGAAGGCTCAGTCACCTACAGCCGAGGAGTTTCACCCTGCCCGCCCATGACATCTTCCACCTACGGCATTGCAGGGGGGTACAGCTGTGGCAGTGATGGATCTGTTGTAATAACCAGTGGTGACAACGGGGACACATCTGGCTGGGGCATTGCAGTGGGGACAGTCCCAGTCTATGGCACCGGGAGGGGAGCAGAGTACAGCGGCGAGGACTCGGGACGAATCATAGTTGGTGGTAGCTCAGGGAGGGCTAGAGGATCCAGTATCACTGGATATGGGTACGAGTACGATACAACACCAAGAGATAAAGTCATAACCAGTGGGGATGGACCAGGGTACTACGGCGGAGGATTGGGCTATGGCACTAGGGGATGCTCAGGCCCAGAGTTCAGCTCTGGAGGTGGTGCATCCTCCAAGACCATGCAGCAGAAATGCCCCGTGGTCATTCCCGACATCAAGACCCAGCAGAGCAAGCAGAGCAGCCACTGGCCCCCCATTCAGAAGAAATGACCTGTCCAGGAACCGCCCACTGCTCAAGTAATCTGGATGAGCCACCCACATGGGAGCTCTGCATTCCTCGCGTTGGGCTGTGCTAACAACAGTGCCGCGAGCACTGCTGGGAAAAGTGGTTTGTGCTTTGTTGACACGAAAAGGTTCTTTCGCCCATGGGTTGGAAAATAAAAAACGTCACGGTCTGCAACACATTCGGATAGCTGAACAAATCCTTTCGTTTCTGGCTTCGCCCAAACTGCAGATGGATGCTCAAGGAGTCTGCTTCCCAACATATTTTTGATCTGTATTTTAGAACCCTATTCAAATGTACTAGTTATTTTAATGCAATTAAAAATGTTAATGGAATTAAAATTAGTCATCTTCAACAGCAAGAAAAGGTTCTTATCTTTGCTCTTGCTGGAGCCTAAGCTTCCCCTGTGCTCCTCCCACCACGTGGAAACGCTGTGCCCTGCCAAGACCCTCTCCATGGGTACAGACCCCGCGGAGATATGCAAAACACCCGGGTGATTTCCGACTGATTATTATTTACAGCGTGACCTTGGGAGTAAAAGGTTGTTTACTTGGAAGCAATTACTCCCATCCCAGAGAGATTGCAGGTGATGTTGTAAGCCAGAGCTTGCACCAGTGGCATGAGGCAACTCGAACGAGCTCGTCGGCTCCTCAGTCGTAACCTGCTTCATGACATTTTCCGACAGGATTGAGCCCTAAATTAGACACGGGGAGAGGATGGTTCCTCTGTGCTGCGCTGATGGGACAGTGTCGGGGAGGCTTGAACATCCAGAACTGCTTGTTATTTGGGATTTGCCAAACATTTAGTGTTTGGGGTCTGCTCTCTGAGGGTTTTATGAAGGCAAAAAAAATCACACCATATATCAATGCCCATTCAAAAAGGGCAGAAAATTACACTCTAAAATATTTTTTTACCATTGCTGGAAGGATTTTGACCCTTTCAGCGCAATAAAAGTCAAGAAAACTTTGCCTTGATGTTTGAAAACGCCACAGCTTATGAAAACCAAAATCCTCTGAGCTCCAGCTCTATGCTTGGTGCCACAACAGATATCTTTCATGCTGTAAAATGTTGTAAGACTGTGATGCAGGGAACATTGCACAAGGTTTTGTCACCAGCCATATTAAAACCCATTCTAAAATTAGACAGCTTTATCATTTATGGGCACCTGCTCACATTTCTAAAATCTACCACTCCACCATTGACAGCTGTTGTTTTTCCCTACTTCACCTTGATAGCATCAAAGGTAGCAAAAGGAGTCAGAAAGTTCCAACAACTTAAAAGAGGCTTCCAGAAAACCGATTAGAACCTGCGTTATTCAAAAACTTCTGGTCTGTTCAACCAACTGAACAAAAACCATCCCAAACTTACCATGAAAAAAAAGAAAGAAAATAGAAAACACTTTAAAAGTACGCTTATTATTCACTCTCCCACCACATATTGGTTTATTTACTTTGCCACCTGCCTCCTTCTTTGTATCAAAAAGAGCTCCACAAGCTTCCACATCAATCAAGCTGGATGATACCAGAGTCGAATAGAGCCAGGGGAGGAGGATGCTCTTGCACCCAGAGCCGGGGCTGCATCCCTCTGCGCCTCACCTCCAGCGTGAGGCTGGATTTTATACCCAGGCGCACAGATGCGCTCTTGCACGAGCAAATTTTCTCCCGGCTTGTTGTGCAAGAAGAGGAGGAACGAGCCATCCCTCGTGGCTGATGAGCCGTGGTAATGCAGGGCGCTCGTCCACGAGCACGTCAATGCTTGCAAAAGCCGTGGCCCCTCTGCTCCAGCTGTTTGTAAACACCCTGAACGGTAAACACAAATCTGGCTCCGCGATGAAAGTCGTTAAGCGGTGCCTCTGGGTAGAAACTCAAGAATTTGCTGTAGAGAGAGCAAGCAGGAGGCACCCCTCAGCTTCAGGTGTCGAGCCGACCTCTGCCCAAGGAAGCCTCACGACTCCCATGTTAGTTGAGATGCACAAAATTAGGAAAAACACAGAGTGATTGAAATTGCACGGGCAAGCTGCTAATGGGAGGGGAAAGGAGAAACCGGAGTTGTTGCAAGGCCGTGGTTGCACGGGTGATTGCACCGGGGCTGGGTGAGTGCCGCAGGCTCGTGGCGGCGGTCCGCTGCTTGGCACCCCGAGCGCTCCCATCCCGCCCCGGGGAAGAGCTCGAGACGCGTGGGCTGCTCAGGGACGTGGTCTCTGAGCTGGAGCTTTGCTCACAGTTTACTCATAAATGCAAGGTTTTCCCAATCGGCTTCTGTAGGCACGCGTTTCGCATCGCGGCCAATGGCTGCTTCGGAGGCAGGCGAATAAAAAAATAATTAAAAGAGTAGAAAAAAAGAAATTTAAAAAAAAAGGATTTACAAAATTAAAGCAAATCTGTTTGGGTCCTTCTTTGGTATTGGCTGGGGAAAATATCAGCAGTGAAAATTAGCGATAACTACTTCAATGTCAATGAAATGACTGTAAAAACCAGATGCGAAGCAGGTGAAACACAGGTAGAGAGACCGCCCGATGTTTTTGGGGTATTCACAAGTGTACGCCAAGACTTCCAAAAGCGGCCCATACTACAAACCGGCTTTGACGGGTCAATTCTCAGTCGTAGCTCTTGGAGCCTGTCACAGTCACCACAGGGTTAGTGATTTTTGCTCTATTATTTTATCGCTCTGGGAAACGGCACAGTAAGAGAGAGGAGATCAACAGGAGACCCTCGCCTGCTAAGATCTCCCACCTACAGATGTCTTACAGTGTGAAGGCGCTTCTAAAGACACTTTCAGAGGACGTGTGATGAGGACTTTCTAAAAATGCCATTTTTTTTATAATTTGGGCCTGAAAGTGGTGGCTCTTGTCTGCTGTACCAGTCCTACCAAGAGCAGTTAGAGGTGACAGGGCACCATGACCTCTCCTCCCTGCCAGACGTTGGGCGAGAGGTTTCAGGAGGACAGAAACCCCAAAAAGCACCACCTTTGCCACCCATTTTGCAATCTCAAACTCATCCTGGCATGACGGTGAGACAGTCAAAGCCACCCACACGGTTTTCACTCTTGGTGCATTACAACTTGCACGGGGCAGGGCAGCAATTAAAGCTGTGTAACACAAGGAAGACAATCTACTGTATGACAAGTCAATCAAAGAAACGGCGTTGAATAAGCTTTTGAAGGTGGTGGATAATTAGAGGCGTGGCTGTTTTGTAAATACATTGGTCATTTTTCCCCAGGGGTTTATTGCATTTTCAGGAAGAGAGTTAGAAACGGTATAAAAGTTCTCGGATGGGAGAGCAACTCATTCACTCAGCTCCGCTCCTCCTTTAGAGACTTCACAGCCAAGGTAAGATGCTTTTACATTTCATCCCCGTGAAAATTTGCTGAACTGTGCTTAGAAAGACACGTCTGTCTGCAGGTGCTGGGATCACCGAGAGCCACATTCTTGCTTCAGCCGCTGGGGCAATTGCGCGTTATCAAAATTGGTCTCGAGACTGCATGTGCTAAGAAGCAAAACTGATTGTTCTTAGCACATGTAGATGTTGGACTGCTTCAGTTTCCAAAGGGCAAACTGGAAATAAAAATAAGGAAGGCATGGAATTGAGGAGTGAATGGGAGAAGCAAGCTTTCATAAGAGATTTTGGGTTTAAACTGGAATTTTGATTTCACCTGTGAGCCTGACTCCTTTACTAAGTTCTTCTGGAAAATGTAAATCAAATCTTCAGGAGCTGAAATTGTTGCACTGCCCTTGAAATTTAAAAAAAGGAACTGATAATGCAGATTTAAGCTATGAGAGGGAGATGTGGCACGAAGAGCCCTCAGCCCAGCCGGGCACATCCTGGGTGTCTTCTGCCTCCTCAAAAATCTCAGCTCTCCTCCGAAAGTGGTTTAGAAGTGCACATAGTATTTTCCTCACACCTCTGGAAATTGGGCACTGGTCAGCCAAGGGCACTGAGGGAGAAGAGGACACATGAAGGGAGGAAGGCACAGGAGTCTTTTCATTTTGAACACCTGGCTCTGAGAGCACGCTTTGCCATTGGTCTAATACTACTAGTCCTGGCTGTAAATTCACCAGAACCTTCTAGGCTGCCAGTTTTTCAGACTCTTGCCAAGATGCCTCTTGCCAGAGCAGCACAAACTGGCAACTCCTCCGTTACACAGCCCAGAAATAACTCCAGGGTGTCTTTCACAAGTGCTTGTGGGATGCAGCAAGGGAAACTGCTCTCGGAACCTGGTAGAAATGGAGATCAGGGCTGCTTGGGGGGCTTGTAGAGGGAGTTCAGTGAGGGAAAGAAGCCCCAAGCTGGGGAAACAGAATGGGCAGGCTGGAAAATCCTGCTGAGCCTTGGCAGGCTCCTGAACACGTCAAGGAAATCCAAACTCAGAGTGGGGAAAGGACGCTGCCCTTCCCACACCTAACAACAAAGGTCTCTCCTTCCCAGGGCTCACCTCACTAACTGAAAAATGTGCTCCCGCGGAGACAGAGGCTGCCACAGCACCGAGAGCTCCTCCTGCCACAGCGGGGGCTCCTCCTGCCATGACAGCGAGAGGTCCTGCCACGGCTCTGAGGGGGTCGTCTGCCATGAAGTGAGCGCCGTGCAGGACGCGACGCCCGTGGTGGTCCTCCAGCCCCAGGCTCCCGTGGTCACCGTGACCGGGCAGACTCCAGTGGCCCCAGTTCCCTGCCAGCAGCAGCAGCAGCAGATCAAGCAGCCGGTGCAGTGGCCCCAGCAGCAGCAGCAGAAGTGAAGTGGCGCGGACGAGCCGACGGCCAAGCGCACACCACGGGGCTGCTCCTCTCCCCTTCCCTTGGCAAGGAGCAGCCCCAAGCTTGGGCAGGTCCAGCCCCTTCCCTCTGTCATGGATTACCTCTCCCCGCTCCTGATAGCGCAACGTGGCATTAGCATGGCAGATTTGCCCTCGCACGCATGAGAATTTAAATCCTCTAATTTCCTGCTTCTATCTCTGGTAGCAAAGATGTGACATTAAAAACCTAAAGCTCACA